TATCCCAGGCAGCGGGAGCGGGGGTGGGTTAGGAGAATACTTTGTGCAAAGGGTGCTAGTTTCGTGACCGGAGACCTTCTTGGATCAGAAGGGGGAACTGGAACTCTTCCCTTTTTCTTTCTTGAGTAAATAAGCAGCAGTCCTCATCCCCCTGCTGAAAAGTTTTCCTGTGCTCCAGTCTCCTGCCACAGCTGGTAGCTCAGTGATGGTTATTGGGTCAGACCTCATTAACCATCTCCTTATAAGCTATTAAACATTGCCTTTCCACCCCCCACCCCTCCCCTCGCCCTTAGCACACAGCATGACGAACCTAAGATATTTACCACAAATGGTAAAAAGTCCCTAAAAATGACCAAGTGCAATGCAGGGAGCAGGACAGACGTGCTTCGGCATTAACAGAGAATGCATTAAGGGAAGATGACTAGGGGGTAAATAACTGTTCAGACCCAGAAATCCATGATTTACTGACGTACTTGCTCATGTGGTTCTCTCTAGGCTGCACTTTCTGTTCCTGCAGTGCCCAGTGGTTGCTCTCTTCTGTCTGCTGAGTCTGACTGGCAGCAGCTGTAGGTGAGCAAAAGCCAAATTGAAAAAAAAAAAACAAAAACAAATGCCAGGGCTGGAATAAATGTATATATTAAATAAGCTTTATCAGTGAAGCATTTGGTTATAGTTCGATTTATGTCAAAATAAACAAGCAAATGAAACCTTTGCAAAACAACTGTTTGAAATTATTGCTGGTCTGGAGAAACTTAACAAAACAAATAGTAATTAAAATTAAACTGTTAATGTAGTTCTTGAGTATAGAAGACTCACAGGCCTTTACTGTCTTCTAACTTCTGGTTGTTTGAGTTTCTCCAGGATGGCAATAGTTTTGCTCTCTTGCTTTTTCCAGTGACATAGAAATTCCTGACATAAGAGCCTGGCTCTCTGGCTAGTGTGTACCTATCTCTAATTGTTTCCTGCCCTCCAAATGGGGCCAGAGACTTGGGGGTGGGGGAGGGAAGTTGGAAAAATTGTAGAAGCCTCACGCTATTAAGGTCTTGTTATTGGGGCAAGAAAAAAAATTGATCGTTCCCTTAAGAATTTGTGTTACTTTTTAATTTACTTGTAAAGGGCTAAAATGTCACATTTTTCCTGAGAGCTGGGATTCTCATGTAATTTTAGGAATTCTGGACCTGAGTTGTCAGGAAAAACACTAAATATGGAAAAACTTAAACCAGTAGTGTTACCAGCACCAGAGACCCTTGATGTTCCCTTACAGCTCTTAAAAGTAAGATGTGATAATATCAGAACTTAATCTCTCAAGTTGTCCTTCCCCAAAGAAATTTGTCTAGTTGCAGACAGAGGTGGAGAAAACATAACCTGGGTACGTACAAAGTTCTTAATTTCCAATGGACAAATTTGACAGACACACCCCCACACACACATTAATGTTTAACAAATCATTTTTGTTTGGGGGCCAAACTTGTGATTTCTGAACATTTGCAGTTGACAGTACAGAAGCTCTTGAAAGCTGGGAGTACTTCAACTTATGTCAATATTCGGATATCAGCATCCTAAAAGGCAGGCTTTCCTGGAGTTGCAATGTGTATCATCCCAACAAAAGGCTCCTGAAGTCCACCTAAGGATGTAGTTACTGCTCTATTTGAGTGATCTGTATTTATAAGGTTTATAAGCTGTCCCTGAGCATAGCGTCCGTATTACAGGAGCCAGGCAGATGAAAGCTCTGTGCTGTGCTAGGTTAAAGGGTGAAGTGCAGTGAAAGTTCTCCAAGAGGTCTGGTGACACTGGGGAACAACTGTGGAGGAGCCAGCAGTGTCCTGGGTGCTGCAGGCAGTGCAGCAAGCAGCACATGTTTAAAAAAAGAAAAAAAAAATAAAAATCAACCAACCAACCAAAACCCATCCCAAACAACCCACCGAACAACCACCCACCCCAAACCCCCATAAATCAGAACGACACCAAAAAGTAGCGTATAAAAGCAGCATCCCCTTCCATGGACTGTGGGTTTTGCACTGAGCTCTTCGTGGAGCATCAGTCCCAGCAGTGAAGCGGTGTGTTGCAGTGCTGTACTAAAGATGTGTGCAGGGTGAAAAGTCTCCATGGTGGGAGCGCAGCGCCGCAGTAGTCGCCAGGGCAAGTAGGTTACCATCGTCATCTGTCAGCCTGTTCTCTGCACCTGTGGAATCAGGGTGTAAGGCACCCCGCGAACCAAATGTGTTAATTGTAATGAGGTTGACTTTGCTCTTTGCTCATTCTTCCCAAGCAGTTCTTAACCGTGGTCTGTAAGCTCCCCACGGCAGGGGTTTTGTTTGCGTGTGTACAGTACCGAGCACCAGGAGGTCCCCTCCTGCTTGAAACTACTGGGCATTGCTGTAACGTACAGAGTAAATAAAAATAACGATCTAAACGTCAGCAATAAAAGAATAAAATGTTAACTGCCATAAAGTACTTCCATGAACGCTCAGTTATACTTTATTGGGCGTTCAGGACTTATATATCCTCCGAATCTTTATGAATACTTGACACTAAATAACAACATTTTGGTGAACACTGAAATGTTTGACGTTTTCAAGAGGTCGAGATCTATTTTATAATCCCGGGAGATTTCAGATAATTTCCTTTAAATTGTTTACACTTGAGGGAGTTAGGGTCCTGGCAGAGGAGAGCAGGGAAACAGTATCGGTCTGGGAGGTCAACCCAGGACCACGGAGGAGCGCGGCTGTTGGGCCGGGAGTCTGCACAGCAGTAAGGTGATGCAGTGCCTCCCATCACCTCTATGCTCTGCTCATCAGATGCCTGTGTCTGACTGCCCTGGGAGGCTTCATCAACACCTGAGGTCATACAGGCAGGGTCAGTAAAGGCCAGGTGTTGTGGTTTAACCCAGCAGGGAGCTGAACACCACCCAGCCGCTCACTCACTCCCCCCCTCCCTCAGTGGGATGGGGGAGAGAATTGGGAAAAAACGTAAAACCTGTGGGTTGAGATAAAGACAGTTTAATAACACAGTAGAGGAAAACAAAGTAGTAATAATAATAGAATATACAGAGTACACAAAACAAGTGATGCTCAATGCAACTGCTCACCACCTGCTGACCGATGCCCGCCCATCCTGCACAGTGATATCACTCTTCCCCGGCCAGCCCCCCCCGAGCATGACGTCATATGGTCTGGACTAGCCCTGTGGCCAGTTGGGGTCAGCTGTCCTGGCTGTGCCCCCTCCCAGCTCCTTGTGCACCTGGCAGAGCAGGGGAAGCTG